GAAGTTTAGCGGAAACCAAATGTCAGCAGACATCAGGTTTTCCTGGAGGAAATGCTTCATTCCTCATTCAGTAAATCATCCCATCATAACATTTGAACTGTTTTAAAGTTGAAACTCATATTTACTTCTGTAAAAGTCCTTCATTAAAATTCAGTAGTTCACACAAAAGAAATGAAAAATCTTTCATTATTCTTCAGCTTCCAGTTTGGAGAGGATTTGTGGGTAACAGGGACGAGGTGGAGTCAGTCAGATGTAGGGTTGCCACCGTTCAGAAACCAAAATGAGGGACGCCCACCACGGCACGTCGCCCTACTCTCATGGGGCGGGACGGCCGCTGCAGTGATGCACATTATTATATGGCAGTTTTTTGTCTTTAACCTGTCGAGAGGACCCAAATTTGGGTCCTCTAGTGACAGGGGTGTCAAACTCCAGTCCTCAAGGGCCGCTGTCCTGCAACTTTTAGATGTGCCTCTGCTGCACCACACCTGAAAAGAATAATTAGGTCATTAGCAAGGCTCAGGAGAACCGATCTACACAGGGAGGAGGTAATTAAGCCATTTCATTCCACTGTTTTTTACCTGTGGCGCATCTAAACACTGCAGGACAGCAGAGGACTGGAGTTTGACACCCCTGTCATTGTGAATGACAGCCTGTGAATGACAGGTTAAAAAGTGACCCACAGAGCAATTGTTCATGCATAGAGTACTCCTAAACGGTACTCCGATCAGCGTAGCATACCTTAAACATGTTTAGTTAAGCCAGTGTAAAAAGTATTTGGTAAACTACCGAAGTACTGAGTAACTGATCATATCACCTGATTTAATATTCAAAATGTGTCCTCAGCCAAAAGTATAAATGTTATGTGAACAACAACAGAGCAATATTTCATCATTTGATATAATAAATGAGCCAAAGAGCCACTTGTGTCTCCAGAGATCCAGGCTGCAGATCCCTGGCAGATGGAAAGTCTGATCCTATACAGCAGCTAAAAGTGCAGTTCTATAATATTAAATTCATTGTTAAAGTAAAATTGTGAAGGTTAAAAATAAAAGTGATCCACTACTGAGTATTAACATAAGACATTTAGTATAACTTCTTTGGTTCCCCGTTGGTCCCCATCTAGATCCGCCCCTGGGCTGCAGGTCTGGGTCTGGTGCATTAATGACCACTGAACAATGAATTCATAAAATATATAAACATTTCAAAATAAAACATACAGAAAGCCCTAACAAACCTTTTAAAGTGGGAAGTATTTATGTATTTACTGTTAATCTGATTCATTCTTTAAATGATCATTTGTATTAATTTGGCTGATATTATTATACATTAAATAACCAAATAATCAAACCAATATAGTCGACTAAAAGCACAATAAGAAACTTAGTCATAGCAAAATGTTACCATATCAGGTCTGCTGTGTTCCTCTCCTGATCCGTTCATGCAGCAGCTCACACATTTGTTTTAATGCCTGTGTTCATCCTCACTAACATGTTCAGCCTGGGATTTGCGTTTTCCTTCTCACGTCTGTATCTTTACGAGGTTTTACTTCTAGTGGAGAATCTGGTCAGGACGTTTTAAAACGATCCGTGTTGACAGCAGCTCACCGCGGCTGCGCAGTGTCCGTCTCTAGGCAACCGTGACAACAGCGTCAGTCCGCAGGTTCAGGGGTCCTTCAGCTCCCGCCTCCAGAATTTAGCTGACCTAAATATATCCTGTGTTTTATTTTGGCCATTATTGTTATAATTAGTGTTGGTATGTGTGTGATAGGCGAGTCTATCGGACATTTATAGAAATACAGAACAAACCGCGTCCCGTTTCGGTTCAATACGGGACGATTCCGTATTTTAAGGGATCAGGGTGGCAGCCCTAGTCAAATGTTTGGTTTCTCTGAGACATTGTCCATCCGTCCGTCTGTTCTTCTGTCCGTTCTTCTGTTTTTCCCACCAAATGAAAATCTGGTTGAAAACGAGCAGAAGGACCAGAATCCAGACGCTGAAGAAGAGCAGCAGGGAAGCTGAACAATGTGAGGAAGGAAGCAGATGAGCTCACAGTGAACCTGTCTAAGTTTCATCTCCAGGCCACACACTGACTGGCGGCACCGACCCGGCCCGGTCCGCTGGACTCACAGAACCTGATCACATTCTGACAGTAATTACTCCCCAAACTGCCAGAAAACCTTCCTTCCTCCTGGTTTGTTTTATGTTTCTCCCACTGAGGGAAAAATCTGCTTTTCATTAAGACCTTCAGACCTTTGCTGATCGTTTAACTGCTGAACGTTTAGAAACCCGAGTGAAGCTGCAGATCGATCGTGGAAACAAAGTATTTCTGTGACTTTATAGCATCTTCAGTCATTTTAAACCTCCAGGGATTTTTTACAGGTTTTACTCTTTTAAATAAAGTGAGAACAGACGAGCAGAACAGAAAACAGGGAGCAGAGAAGAAAACCAGCTAAATAAACTCCAACAGTTTGAGTTTTTATTGTTAGCTTAACGGAAAGTGAGCCGGCTTCCAGCTCAACAACTCATCCTGTGAATTTGCCTAAAATGTGTGGAAAATGATCCTAATTTATCTGTTTACAGTGAGTTTTAATTATGATCACATCCAGTCACACAGGGAAGAAACAGGCTGATCCAATCAAACTGGAGAACCAGAACCCGGCCCAGCGCCGCCTGGATGATTACTGACAGAACCAAACGTTTGATGAATGAGGAGGAAACCACGATAATCTAACACCCAGATGGAAGATGTGATCTGCCTCGTATGGGGCCCATTTCTGCAGACACATCCTGACTGATGAGCAGAAACATCGTCCCTCACTTCACCTCAGTGTGGGAATAAAAATAAAAGCGTTTGTTCAGTTTTAGTAGCTGCTTTGACCTGATCTCAGGATTCTCCATGTCTACTTTCTCTGCTGTAGTTTATTCCTCTAATGACTCTCACCTGTTCCTCTGCTCAGCGTTTCACTCCGTGTTTCCAACCTGGATCTTTCCTGACGGTCTCCTGTGGTTTCTGCTGTCGGCTGTTATTTTACTGCTTTAGTTATCAACTGTAAAATGATTCTGGATTCCTCCTGTTGGGTCTCAGAACATGACAGAAACAAAGCTAAGAAAGCAACAGAAGCAGCAGCATCAACATGCTGGAGGTCAAAGGTCACGGTATCAACACGGCTCTTCTTCAGTCGGATGTGGATAAATCTCTTAAAGCCACAGTGGAAGGACTTCCTGATACCAGAATCATTTATTTACGGCTCTGCAGGAACGTTTGGCACCGACCCGGGTAGAAATGTTTGGTTCCACTGATGATGATCTCTGATGGACAGACTTTACATCCAGTCAGATATTCACTGTAGACTCCATCTCCAAACTTCTCTGGGATTCTTACAGGTGATTCATTTCTGCTTCACATCAGTCTGTCTAGTTTCTGTCTGGACCCTCAATGTTTCCCTCATTCTCTGCTCTGAGACCATCTGACAGCTTAGGACAAAAGTTTAGATTTGGATCTTTAAGTATGTTTACCTGAAAGACTTTTGTCCTCTGGTGAATCTGGTTATCTCTTATTGTTCTTGTCTGTTGTTTTTGTATTTAAACGTCGGCGATAGTTCCTGAATCACTGATTAATTTCTGACTTTATTCTTGTTCTCAGTTCTTCCTCTTGCCAGTCAGACTTCCTTTAAAGCACATCTCTTCATATCATGTTTATCATCTTTCTGTCAGAAACACCAGAGCTAACTGTGGCTCACTGCTGCCTCCTGCTGGATCTGATCACAAATGACACCCAGAACACCTGCAAACATCTGATCTCCCAGTGCAGATGATTTTCATCTGTTAGATTTACCTCCATGTGTTTTATATGCTTACATTTTTAGTAGTTAGTTTAACTTTCCAAACATGGACCACATGACCTGCCTGACAGATTTATTGTCTGATCCATACGTTGTTAATAATCAGTAAGATCTTGTTTGGTTGGTGAGAAAAAGCTACAATCTTGCTCTGTCTTTGCTGTTCTTTCTATTGCTGTTGTCTTCCTGTAGCCTTTATTGAAACTGTGGAAGCCTTGCTTACAGAGTGACTACAGTTAAACTATTAATTACAAGTTAGAGGTGAAAATGACAAACATGAAATATTCTTGACTTAAAGCCCCAAACTCCATCTTTTAAGGTCAGAAGAGCGAAATAAAAAACATTACTCTGCATCGTTTTAAACTTCAAACATCCAATGGTCATGATTTCTGAGAAGTTAAAAAAGGGAAGCGCTCAGTGCTCACTCAGTTCAGGCTCCATTTAGTTTCGTCGGATCAGAATAAGAAGCTGACTTGGCAAAGGTTTGACCGAACGTTTGGGTTTTGTCTCTGTGGGCCGTGGAGGGAACCAGAACCAGAAGAGTCTCCAGCAACGCTCTGGTTTGTAAAACAGAACCGCACAACCTCCTGCTCTCTGTCTCCACTTTGGCCATTCAGTAGTTTAATGGTTTCTGCTGAACAGAAACTTGTTCTGTTCACATTCTGTAAATAAGCTGGATTTTTACTCTTTAAGCCTTCCAGTCATTAGGAATATTTCCATTTTTAATCTGTTGCAGTACTCAGGTTTATTGAATATAATTCTGTCATTTGTGAAAAGAAATGATGCAGCGTTTTCTCAAAAGAACTAATTCAGCATGAGAACTTGTTCCTTCTGCTGAGATGACTGTCATGATTCTCCTGGCAGATGGTAGAAAGTTTTGGATATTTACAGAAACCGCTGAGTTCCTCATGTTGAAGCTGTTTTCCCATCGCTCTGCCGATCCGATGTTTCAGACTTTGAGATCAGCTCAGAGGATGAATGTCAGCTGGATGTATTAATGTCTGTGCCAGAAAGCAGAATGAAGCAGGATCCTCTGAACACCTGAGACAGTTTCAGACATTTTAAAGTCTCATCAGATTCACGTTTCCTGCTGAAATCAATTTAAGTTTTCTGCCTTGCAGGACAGCTCAGACAGAAGCTGACTGGTTTCTTTTCCAGACAGACTGAAGAGCAGAAGATGGAGGTGAGAGTGAAGGATGATCGGGACAGAGACGAGTCTCCAGGATCCAGCTGTCTGACTCTGACAAGCGTCCAATCCAAAGTCCAACCTGCTGCTCCTCACAATGAACCGTCAGACATAACGTATGAAATGCTTCTTATGAGGGTTTCACATCATAATAAACACTGGTTTATGTTATTGTTTGAGCACAAAATTCAGCCAGATTGCACTGACTAGTTTGTTGGGATCTCTGAACAAAGTCTGCCCCCTGCTGGGTCACTGAGTAAATTCACAACCTTTTAGAATAAAACCTCTTAGTTTTACAGAAATTACAAATTTTCCATTTAGGCACTTTAAACCAGGACCACTAAAATTCAGTCATTACAGGGGGATTTTAAAACATCCACAGTTTTATAATTCTAATAATTATTTAGACGCCAACCTGAGCAACAGCAGCGACTCTAGTTTTCCTCCAACACCTCTGGGATTCAGACCAATTAATACATTTAAATATGTATTTACTGAACCAGCAGGAGGGATTTTGGTCAAACCATCAGTGAATAAACAACTTGATGGAAAATGAACGAAGCTAATATATTCAAGAAAAACTAAATAACTGCTATGAAATATTACATAAAAATTCAGCCCAAGTAAAAGCAGATTATATTTCATCCAGAAAGGAAGTCAGATATTTTTTGTGTGTTGTGGATTATTTAAAATCAAATGTTTTCACAAATCAGTTTTTAAATATTTTATTCAGTAGGTGATTCAGTGTTTTTAGGTAAATCACTTTAACTAGATTACTGAATTATTACCAATTTATGGATCCTTACACTATATGTGTGTTTCAGAGGCCAAAGCCACATACAAACATCAGCAGCTTCAGGATCCAGCTGTGTGTCTCTGAAGTCCATAGAATCACCTCTGGCCTTTAGCCAAGAACCTGCATCATCTGGAACAAAGTAAGGCCATTTTCCTTCTCTGACCTGATGGAAAATGAACTTTTTTAGGTGTTACTATTAGAGTCAGCAGTGTCACACCCTAATGTTTCTCATCAAGGGTTGGTAAATTATTAGAAATGAAGAACTTTCTTAACAGAGGGAGGAAGAGGAGCTTTGTGCATGAGGAGGAGCAGCCATCCTGCTGTGGTTTGTGCTGCGATGTCCTGAAGGATCCGGTCTCTACCAACTGTGGTCACTGGTTCTGCAGACAGTGCACCAGTTCATACTGGGATGAGGCAGCTTCATCAGTATGAACTGGTGCACTGTCTGCAGAACCAGTGACCACAGTTGGTAGAGACCGGATCCTTCAGGACATCGCAGCACAAACCACAGCAGGATGGCTGCTCCTCCTCATGCACAAAGCTCCTCTTCCTCCCTCTGT